GTTTAAGGATTCATAATTAGAAGTTAAGGCATAAGGCAAAACGGTGAAGTAATTACCACAAAGTTGGGAACCTCGTTATGCCTGAGGGAGGGGGGCAGTTGAACAGAATGTGCAGGGCAGGGGTGTCTGAGCTGAGGGATGGCAATGTCCTATTTCTTGACCTGGGTGGCACTTTATAATATGTTGTCTATTTGGTTTTATGTGTTTTTCTGCATGTGATAATTTACAATGATAAGAAAAACCCTGCCTACAATTTCCATCTTGCCTCTCCCGAGCCTGTCTCTCCTCTCCTCTCTGCCAGAGGAATGTCCTTTCTGTCCTCGTTTTCTCCAGTCTCTTAACTCCCACTTATAACACAGACTGTCCCGGCCCTCAGCCCCAGTCACCAGTAATATCCTAATTAGCAAATCAGATGAACGTGTCTCCTCCATACCGTGGAGGTGTCTTTGCTGCTCACCTTGTGGTTCTCTTTCCCCTCTGCTTCCGCAGACCTTCCCTCCTCTGGTTCCGTCCTCTCTCTCCCTCGGGCTTCTCTGTTTCATCCTCTGACTTCTCTGACTTTGCTGCTCCTGAAACACTGGTGCTTCCCAGGTTTCCCTCCCCGCGGTCTCGTCCACACCCTGGCCACCTCTGTGCTAACAGCCCCCAAACGTATAATGTCCCCTTCCAGGCTCCAGGTGCAGGTGTGCCTAAAGCTTCCTGCTCCATTTATATCTGTATCTGGATGTTCGGCATCATCTTAATTTCAACCAGCAGCCTCAAAATGAAGTCATTCTTTACCTTGCTCCAACCCGATTCCTAGATTTCCTATCTACGTAAAGGGAATCACTTCCAAGTGGATATCTCAAGCTAGAAATGTGGACTTTAACCTGTCCTGGCACCAAGAGCTACTGTTACTATGTTCACGCTGTGCTAGGCACTTGCTACGGTCTGAATGTTTGTGTCCACACACCACGCCCCCCGCCAAATTCCTGTTTTGAAAATGTCATGCCCAGCATGGTGTATTAGGAGGTGGGGCCTTTGGGAGGTGATTAGGTCATGAGGGAAGGGCCTTCATGAATGGGTTTAGTGCCTTTATAAAAAAGACCCCAGAGGGACTTCTCTGGTGGTCCTAGGGAAGTGGTTAGGACTCCATGGTTAGTCCCAGTGGTTAGGACTCCATGCTTTCACTGCTGAGGGCACGGGTTTAATTCCTGGTCGGGGAACTAAGATCCAAAGCTGTGCAGTGCGGCCAAACAAACAGACAAAAGCCCAGAGAGCTCCCTTGCATTTTTGGCCATGTGAGGATGGGGCCCTCACCAGACACAGAATTTGCTGATGCCGTGATCCTGGACCTCCCAGCCTCCAGAACTGTGAAAAATATGTTTCTGTCTATAAGCCACCCAGTCCGAGATATTTTGTTACAGCAGCCTGAGTGAACTAAGACAGCATTTTTAAAAACATATATTACATGTATTTTTTGCATATATTACAGAGGAGGACGTGGAAATATTCGCAGGCAGAGCAGCTCTGACTCCTCACCCAGACTTCTGCCCAATTCCACGCAGCGGCCTCTTAGGAGCACAAGTACTTTCCCCCTGCGTCAGTTTCCACCGCCTCTAACCTACTTCTGATTGTCACACTAACCTCCTAACTGGTGTCCCAACCACACACAAATCTCTTTCCATTTTTTGTCCATCTTTAACAGGGCTAGTAGAGTCCTTTAATGATTTGATAGTGTAGTGTTTTTTTTTTTTCTTTTTTGGCTGCTCTGCGTGGCTTGCGGGATCTTAGTTCCCCCACCAGGGATTGAACCTGGGCCCTCAGCAGTGAAAAGTGTGGAGTCCCAACCACTGGACCTCCAGGGAATTCCCAAGAGTGTAGATGTTGATTGCTTTCTTCTCAAATGCCTAGGCCACGTGATCTGACACCAGCCTGCCCCCTTT